TGACTGCATTCGGCAGTGCCAATTTAGCAACGACGAAGGCTTATTATGTCATTTGTTATGAATCGTAAAATTTTTTGCTTGATCAGGAAATGATGACTCACAGCCTGCAAATCTTCTCACTCTTTCAAAGCTCATCTGTTCAACAGTAGGGTGCTTTGAGTACAGAGTGGATCTAAATAGTGAAGTCCCGTGTATGCTTTTTTTCATGTATGCTTCTTTAACAGAAGAGGATATCAATCAATGAATTTGACTTTTGCCAATCAGTCACTTTACTGTTTCTAATTTTATCATAAACGTACACGTTTTTTAATGAAGATTATCTAGCAGGTCATTTTTTACTTTTTTACTCTGCAGCTGCTTGCCCAACGGGCGCACGTGTTTGTATTTGTTGTGATCATTCCCCGAACCGTTTGGTCTGTGATGTGCACTATACCAGCAAGTTTGAGCACTTTCGCTACAAGACACCAGTTAGCACATCGTGAAAGGAACTATTCCTCCCTGAACAGAGAAATACATACATCATTTTCCTCCATATTCTCTGCTGACCTCCTGGACAGCGTTTGCCATGTTTCAACTCCCTCACGATAAGCATACTGACCGTAGTCAGTGGTCTCTGCTAAGCCCTTCTGTCTAATATGATCAACCTCCTCTTACATATCAAACGGAGTCACCTGTGTTCAGAAGAGAACACAGTCATTCCGGATGGTCCTAGTTTCTATCCTTCATTACGGGTCGAAGCAAACGAACCGCATTAGAATTAGAACAACCGTTTCCATGCAGTACGACAACAGTGATCTCAAAGAGGAAGGTACAGCAGATTCTCTTAGGAAGAGTAACTATTTTCTCAGCCCAAATATTCGACAGGTTTCCAAAAGCACTCGAGGCTAAAACGATCTTTCTGATTAATATCGGTTGGAGAGTGACATCACTGGAGATAATGTAAACGGAGGTACGTAAATTGATCAACCTCCTGAAGGGCTGCATCTCCCGGTTCCGCTAGCAGCTCAGCTGTGCCGGCTGAATTTCTCATTACTTCTGACTTCCGGGCATTAAGGAAGAGACCGGTTTTTACAACTATAATGTATTCGAAAGCCGTCAGGTGACAAATCCCGCTTCCCGTACTATTCATCATATCGTAGCGATATCATCTGCGTACTCCTGGGCAGTTCTATGTTTAGCCGGATATCTTTGAATCGCCTTTCCTCTAGAATGAAACCTGTTGACAATGAGA